ACACCAGGGAACATCTGCATTAGCAAATCCAATTCCTACGCCCCTATCCGGTTATCTCAGCCACCCCACTCGGGGGTGGTTTGTGCCTCTGGTCTGTCGGATATGGTGAGTTAACTGATGAAGTTGGGTGAAGCTAGCAGGAGGGGGTGGGTACCGCAGCGACAGTCACTTTTACACAGGAAAGGTGGAGAGGCTCTAATTATTTTGTTTTAAATGGAAACTTGGCCTTGGTGGCAATCCTTATCTAAAGGCATTATTTCATTAGAGCACGGGGTAAGTGCATGTTGGCTGCCTCCTGTGCCACCAAGGTCACTGTGCAGTACCTATATTTAACTCATGATCATGAGTATTTGGCTAAAGGTGCTTGGGACTGGATATGTGAAGTGTGACAAGGAAACAGGTGCCATTTTTCACAGCATTCTCATTTGGGACCTGGTCCAACTCCAAGACTTAACAGCCAAAAGATATGTCACTATGATTTGGGACTGACTGGCTCTTGCCCTATTCTAGCTATTGCTTGGTTTTCTCTAAGCAAGGATAAATGTTTCCACTAGTCTTAGTGTTGTGAAGATTTCCATAGAATTTATCTAAAGTTTTGGAGGAAAGGCAAGCAATCTAGCTGCTTCCAGGGTTGCCTCGAGCATGCTTTGCATCACAGACCGTTGGTTGGTTTTGCCGCATTCATTAAGTGGGACGTGTCTTAGGATGTTGCCTTGAGGTATAGGAGCCCAAGGGAAATGCGTTCAGGCTGCTTCTGTGCCCTGGAGACTTACTTATAAGACTTAAGGGTTCAGTGAGTGGGCAAATCCTGCTTATAAATAAGAATCTGCCAGGAGTATTCAGACATTTGGCTGGCATGACATGTTGCCTTGGTAATCTGAGCTGACGGGGCTCAGTGATGCAGGGAAGAGTGTCTTTCTGCATCATGTACAACTCCTTCAGCATTTGATTCCTACCCTGAGATAGTCGCGGTGCTACCTGGTAGAATTGGACTCATGCACTATATCATCCCAACTTCACGACAGCTGTCTTCAGCCGGTCTGTAAGAGTCATCCTGGTTCTTCCTGCCTTGCTTTTGCTAGATGCTGTATTAGAGACAGGCCTGTTCTTTCTCTTGGGTTCAGGGACCTATCTGTTCAAAGTTTAGAGTTTATTTTTGCATCCAGTGCTCACAAGTCCGAGGTCTCTGTGCTGGTTGATGTCCCACTAGGTGACATGTCATGAGAGTAACACGGGGGACAGTCCGCACCACTTCGCTGGAACTGGATGGCGGGTTGGTGTCCTTGCAGCAGGTTGGCATGCAAGGAGCTTCAATGTGGCATAGGCGGGATCTGAATTCCATCGCGCCGCTTTGGGGTTCACAAGCAGCACAGGTGAGAGAAGATGTGGAAGAAGAAAGACTATTTTGATTCTGGCAGAAGAGTATTTGTGAAGAACTAGAGAAAGCTGCAGGCGTTGGGGAAGCAGAATGCCATTCCCAGAGGTATGAACTTCTGACCATTCACATGCAGGCAGTGCTGCGGTGCCATAAGGCATGGATTTATATGAATTTCTGCAGCTAGACATCCCTGAAGGAATTTGCCTGGTGACTTCATGTATCCACCCCAATACTCATTTGACTAGCGAAAAATGTGGAACAGCCTGGCTCTTCAGGAGAGGGCAGATGGAAAAGTCCTGTCCCTGTCTGTCTCATTCTTCCCAGCGTGAGTTGAGTCTTAGCTAATCTCAGCCATCAGCTCTTTGGACAAATGCTGTCATTTGATGTCTTCTGTAAACCTCCTCCCAGACTTCTGGGCTGTATAAAGTAAAACCAAGCTGTAGGCACATTTACGGTTCTCTTTTCCCATGAACTTGTCTGCAGACGTCAGAGACGATATACAACAGGAAACCTACTATGAGTGATGCTGAGCCACTCCTGGTCCCACCAGCTATCAGACCTTTACAGCGTGCCTTCTGCTCACGGCTCTTGCTGACAGCTGGGGAAAAAATGGTAGCAAGCGCACTTGGAGGTACTGTCTGTCCACTCTTGAACCTGTCTGATGGAAAAAGGCTCTGTCTAAGTATCATGTGTTTTGCATTCTTCTGCGCGTCTGCTAATAGCTCCTGAAGCCCTGGTGTCAATGCCCGTGATACAGGTTTAACTATGGCAAGAAGCTGAGGATCAGTAGCGGAGTTGTATGAACTAGGTATTTACAGTCCCTTTGGTACCTGTAAATATTTCTCTGAGAAATGTAGATGAAGCTTCATTAATAAGTGATTTACTGCAATTCATGGACTCCAGTAACTGTGCTGCTTTGATTTTTGCTAACAATGAACCATCTACTCGGCGATGTGGCCTCAAAGTTAAAGTGTTAGCAGGCAAGAATGAACACATGGCTGTTGCACCATTACCGAACCCGCCAAATTAGGCGAACGATCTTCTGGCAGGTTAGCAAAATGGTCACCTGCTTCCAACACATAATTTAAGTATAACTGGCAAGTATAATTGGCGTCCTGTTGTTAGTAGAGAGCATTAGTATAACATCCAGTGGCATGAGGCAGGTTGCAGGGTGTAAAATTTACACACCGTGGGACACTATTTGCACTTAAAGGGAGTCGGCTTGACCTCACTAGAACAAGCTGCCTAATTTTGAATCCTCTCCAACGCTATGTGTTAAAAAAATTGATTTGGATTGCAGTGTTGATGGAGGCTCTTTCTGCTTCGGAGAGCTTGAGGGTGAGGAAGAAAAGCTTTCTTTCCTAACAAGTGTTGTGAGTGGCTACGTTGGCAGTATCCACCTGGCTGCTTTGGAGGAAGGAAGACTTGGAGGATGCAGCATAGGCTAGGAGCTAGAGCAGGGGCGGGCAATTATTTTGGGTGGAGGGCCGCTTACTGAGTTTTGGCAAGCCATCGAGGGCCGCATGACAGGCAGCCAGGGGCAGATAAATATTAATTTTCCAAATTTTTTAGGGGCCCCATGGGCCAGAGAAAGTGGCCTGGTGGGCCGCACGTGGCCCAAAGGCCACATTTTGCCCGCCCCTGAGCTAGTGGGTGTATAGAAGCCCCTCGTCTTCCAAATATTAAACTACCACCCCTTTGCTTTTAATCGCGTGTTGACATTTCAAGGTGGGTTTGGGCACTTCTGATATTGGCAGATACACACCCCCAAAAAATCAAGCTATTTGATTTTTAGGCGGGGGCAGGGGTAGAATCACAGGGGGAGGAAAAAGGGGGGCTGTGGTGCACTGCAGGTTGATGAACTGCTGAATGACTTGCTAATCCTGCCCCCCATGACTGGATCCACATGGGCAAATCTTTGCCTATATAAACCCTCACCCTACTGAAGTGATGACCCTTTTAGGTCCAGGGGTTCCCCTCTGTTGAGCCATTCAGTGGGACTCGTGCATGAGCTGGCTACGTGACTAGAGCATTCCCGTCTTCCACCGGTGTGTTGAATTGATGTTCACGCGCTGCACTTGCTTTGCATTTTCAAGTGTTAACAGATCCCCAAGACCTCTCTGGGGGGTAACCCAGCAGTGCCCGCAGTTCCACGCATGGGTAAGTGGAGCGGTAGAAAAGGCCCAGGTCCTACGGGAGGTCGGTGGGCCTCACTGGGATTAGAGCTCTGTGCCTTGATTGAGGAAAGCACTTAAGCTTGTGCTTAACCCCATCCCTGTTCAGCCAAGCACTTGAGAGCATACTTCAGGGAAGCGTGTACATGAGTACCGCCGTGCCCTGGGAAACGGCAGGCTTTGCAAACATCTCCGAGAACAAATTCAGGGGTTGAGCTCACAATAGGGAAAGAAAGGGCCCTGTTTTCAATGCCTGTATGTAACCTGGATAGTACTTGCAGCCAAATGAGCCCGGTGCAATGACCCTAGCTCACACCCTTTGAAATCTTGCTGTCTGAACTCAATGAACCCTTCAGTGGCTTTGATTTTTTTTTTTTTTTTTTTTTTTTTTTTCTTCTTTTGTTTTGCTTAAGTAAGGAGGGCAGCATTTGTGCCAAAGCTATCCTACGGTCCTTTTAATGCTTCTAAAAGGTTCCTTCCCATCCACCTTCTGTGATGCTGCAAAGAGGGCCGAGGGGCTGGCGAAAAGGGTGGAAAGCAGTTCCGAGGTCAGGCAATGCTCAGCGTGCTGACCTCTCCCATGAGGAGAGCTGAGCTGCAGTGTGAAATCCAGATAGCAAGGAGGTAGTTTCTGGCCGTGTTTTTGTGTTTCCTGAGACTGGTGTCATTACATGCTGCCCTATTACTAATCACTTATATAAGATATGAAAATAACATGGGGAAATTGCTTTTCCAGTCTGTTTCCTGAAGTCTGAAACACACCATCATTTCATCTTGCAGGCAGATAGCACTGAGGTTTAAGTGCCGAAGAGCTGTTTCTGGCTACTTGCTGATGTGTGTCTGTGTTCCTGAAACTCAAGTTTACATTTAATGTTGGTTTGGAATATTTTTCCTTTCCCTTTTTTCTCCAGTAGACCATTTCCCTGGGCTACCCTTCTTAAAGGGCATTTTACTAATTCTGTTCTTTTTTTCCTTTTTTATTTTTAAAAAGAAAAAAAGAGCGTGTCTGTCTTCCTTTGTGGATCTGCTCCCAAATGGCATACATTGATGGGAGGAGGGGTGTCTGAAAGGAGAATTTCTTCAGTGTGAGGAAGCTAAATGCACTGGGGAAATGTATTTGATTTGCATCGGGACTCATAGTAGCGATGATCTCTTTTAGTAGCCCAACAAGATTTTTGCAAAATAAATTCTTTAATTGCAAGCTTTATGAGTGTCCTCTTGTCCCATGTACTCCAATTATACATTATAGGATTCCCACACTGGCTTCTTCTATAATTCTTTATTTTCTTGATTTCAGTAATCCAGTGCGTGTGTTTAGTTTTGAGCCAACTTTTTCTTTTCAATAGGTTGTTTCCAGTATGGGGGAGAGCTCTTTTTGGTCATGCTTTATTCTCTTGTCATGGTTACCTTTCAACAGCCTGAGCGTGTTGTGTGTTACTTCTTGACAGGTGTACAACATGTTTCAACATCAGAGTCTTGGAATTAAAGTCAGCATTCGGGTGACAAAGCTAGTCCTCCTTCGAAACCGTCCAGTAAGTCCTGACCTGTTTTTACGCTGCTGGTATAGCCTCATTGAAGAATTGCTAACCCAGGCGTGGGATTCCTACTATAACGATGTTGGACTCTAGCATGTGTTCGTGAAGGTTTAACTCCTGATCCCGTAAGCCTTTTGAGCGTGGGATTCCTGTGGAAACTTGCAGTTGCTGCTACCGAACGGGATTAATTCCAAGGCTGACGGGGTGGAGGTCTTAGCTGAAAGTCACAGGCTCAACCCCAGCTGATATCTGACCCGTTGACTTGAGTTGCTTCATGTATTCATGACGCTCATAAGTCTAACTCTCAACCTTATCGTTCTTACTCGATGTCCTCTGCTTCATAGACACTCACGTGGCTCCTGGTCTGACCAACGCCTTGTTTCTTTGTATTCCCTTTTGTTTCTGAAAGGCAAAACTGTCCATTGGGCACCATGGAGAGAGGTCGCTGGAGAGCTTTTGCCACTGGCAAAATGAAGAATACGGTGGAGCCAAGTATCTTGGTAATAATCAGGTTCCTGGTGCCAGGGATGACACCCCGCCTGTGGATGCTGCCGTCTTTGTTACCAGGTACAGAAAAATCGGCTTCGCTGGTGTCTTTTGGTAGGGATGGCAGACTATTTGACAGGCAAATCCTTCTAAGACCTGGTTTCTACCATTTGCCCCTCGTTCGTGCCAGTCTGTGGGCTGTGTGGGGAAGATGGATCAGAACAGAAGAATCTTGTCTTCATTTTGGTTGGATTTCCAGTCTTTCAATGGCAGGCAAAGTGTCTCTTCTGTTGGCACGTTGCTTGGCTAAATGCTCTTCCTGACTCGGAGCAGTTCGACAGCAGGGAACGTGCCAGCTTGTGGGTTTGCTCTTAGAACCAGCCCTGACCTCGACCCACCCGGGTCCTAGGACACCGCTAGGACTTGCCCTGCCCCTCCGTGCAAAACGCCCATCTTCCAAGGTCACTCTTCGTGACCCTTTGTCGGATCAGATGTACCCCATCAGGGTGAAATTCAGATAGTGCCAATCCAAAGGGGTGTCACCAGCATCGGCCCGCTGGACAAAATGCTCCTGTGCCGCAATGTTGTCATCGGCATCACGATCCGTTCTTGCATGTTTGTCCGGTCAGTAATGCGGATAGAAGTTAATCTGTTTCTACGCCCTCGGCCATTTTATAAAATACGGCTACTTGTGATTTTAATTTGGTCTTTTCTGCTGGCACCTTGATTTGGTTCCTCATTTCCAACCACACTGGGATGCTGGTGGGTGTTCAGAAGCATTGGACTATAGGGTATCCAGGCAGCTGCTAGGGCAGTGGGCTAATAGAGTTAGGTACTTTCCTTTGGAGGGGAGGACCTGCCTATTTGCTCTGCTTCCAATGCAGCCACCAAAGCCCCAGTCCAGCAAAGCATTTAAGTACATGCTTGACTGTCGAAGCGGGGGAAGCCATCCCTTTGAGGTCAGTAGCTCCTGCTTATAGTTAAGCATGAGCTTTCTTGGATCCAGGCCTAGATAAACAAGGCTTTCTTTTTTTGTTTAAAACCCTCATCTGGGCATTCAGTTGCACCGATTTTCACCCCCAGTCCTTTCATCCCCGTGATATGTGGAGCATGCAGAATCTTTCCTAGGGAGGTTTTAAGTGCTTGGGTGGGGGGCACAGGGAGCATTCCCGCCACGCTCTCTCTCTGCAGCTGATGAAATGAAATTTTCCATGTCGTCCTGAACCAACTGGAGCCAGTCACTCAAACCTGCAGGGATGGCTGAAAAGGTTTTGCAGTCGGAGGAGCTGGAGAGCTGCAGCTGCTGTTAGTTTAGCTAATAGGCTTGAAGAGCAGCTAATTTGGGGGAAAAAACTGCTGTTCTGCAGAAGAACCACATTCATCCAGCGTGATAGGCCAGCAGGGTGTAATTGCAGGCTACCCCCTTCCCGTCCGCATCCACTTCCCTGCACTTCTAGCCCAGCCCTGCTCCTGCTGCATAAAGGACGCTGTGTTGCTTGGAAGCCTCCTGGCCCGGCTGTCCTGATTCCTGTGGCAGGGAAATTAGGTTTTCTTCTCTTGGCTTTGGAAGTGTGTGTGTGTGTCCCTGGATCTTCCCCAGCCTGTACAGATGGACCAGCCACGGAGGATATGGAAGCGGCAGCATGTCCAGCAGAAGCAGCCAAGCCAGAAAAAGCAGAAGCTGGATTTTCAGCAGCTGCAGCTGCTTTTAGGACTAGAAACAGACCCTTTAGGGTCAGCCTCAGAAAGGAGCTCTCCTGTTCCAGCCTGCTGGCTGTGTTCACGTGTGATGTCCCTGGACATTTTGCCTCTGGAAAGATCACCTGTGCTTGGTGAGGCAGGAAATAGGTGATTTCCCCTATGCGCAAAAGCAAATGCCTCCATTGAAGGTGTTGGATAAGGGGTATGCACTTATTTCAGGCTCTAAGTAAGGAGGATGCTGTTCATGTCCCCAGAGGGGCACATCCCAGTCCTGTAACTAATGGGGACACCTGAGACGCCTGGGTGGGTTTGAGTTACTGCCATGTGAATTCTCTACTCAGCGTGTTTATCCCTTGCCCTCCTGTTTGTCCAGTTTCCAGCATCTCCTCTCAAAGTACAGGGCTCCGCAACCGAAGCATCTGCAGGATGATACTGATCCTATTGTAATGGCCAATAGAAATAACCTCCGTTTGCAGAGCCTGTTATGGAGCCCAAGTTAGACCCTCTGGACGTGTCAGTATTGTCAAAGAGCCATGCTAGTCACAGTGAAGTGCAGCTTACCTGCTCCAGGCTCGCAACAGAGGATGTACAACAGCTGGGTGCATGTTGCCGGCTCCCGGATTTGTACGTGCTTGTTGGCCCCAAACGTTGCCAGTGCATCAAGGGCACTTGCATTGCCTCCTTGTAGGGTAACATCTGCGGAAGGGGCACGTGGTGCTTCTCCGTGAGGCTGCCTCATGCAGTTCTTCAGCGGTGTAGATGCACCCTTCGTGTTTCTTTGCTCTTAGGGGGCTCCCTGAAGCTTTTAGGCATTTTGCAGAGGTCCCCAGCACATCACTCCAGTCCCCCAGGTCCTCAGATGCCTTTGCATTGTGGAGATCCACCAACCGTTCATCCAGAACATGTCTGCTTTGTTTTGGGGACATCCTTGATGGTTATGAGCTCCTCCCATGAGAGCAGCATGTGGTTGCAGTCAGGTGGGAGAATTTGTTCTTTGTGGAATCCAGAGAAGTAGCGTTTCGGGGTCTTATTCACCAAGGATTAGTGTCTTCCTTGTCCCACAGGTCGGTGGATCACTTCCAATTGCAGGCCTTTCCACCTTCCTCTGCCTGCGTTGTGGTTTAATGCCGACAAATGATGCATCTGCTGATGTAGCCAGCAAGGGGAATGTGCATCATTGCATGCATGGGCACAGCTTTGGTGTGCTGGAGACTCAGGCAATTTTGCAGTCATACCGCTTTTTCCCTCTTTTACCAGCTTGGCCATTAAAGTTTCAGCCATTCAACAATATCAGTCAGGTACTGGAAAGGGAAAATGGTGGCCCACTATGGCATTTCTGAGTCGCTCTGCCCATCCCACTGTGGTCCGTTCTTGCCGAAGGGCCTCATGCTCAAAATTCAGTTGCATGAGCTTATGCATTTTTCCTAAGCTGTGTGTGCCGGGAGCATGTTTTTTGGAAGAAGTTTTGGCCCCTTTTTCCGGGCTCTGGTCACTTGACCTCATGAGGTTTTTTTTTTTCCTGTTTCTTTATTTTCCTAAACAAAGTGCTCTTTGTGTCCACATGCAACATAACGGCTGAAGCTAGTTCCTCTTCATTCAGTTAACGGTCAGAAGTGAAAGGGAATTTGTACCCTACAACAGCTGGGCTATTGCATGTGGTATTAGTCTGGCCTCCAAGGTAGAATCTGCTGAGTTCGTACCAGAGTCTGGATCCAGACTTCTCCAGATCTCTGGGGGGCAAAGGAGGCATTTCAACTGATGGAGAGAGGGAACTTTTTTTAGCCTGTGTTATCCTAGTTGCATGTGGTCACAAAGAGGCCTTTGCATACATAATCCACATTAGCACGTGTATCTTTCTTGGATCTTAGACAGGATCATTCAGGTTGGGGCTGTTTCTTTATGCTTATCGGGTCTGCAACAGCTCTGTCAACAGAAGAGGTTGGGGCAGAGAGAGGTGGTTAGCCGCATTGCATCTTCTGCCTAGCTGCTTCCTTTGCAGGTTACGGCCGACTGTCAGATGCTTCGAATGCTGTAACCTCAGGGGGTTCACCGCCTTGTTTGTCCCTTCTGATTTCCAGCCCATCTTCACTGCTCTCAGCAGTGCCCCTCTGATCCTCCTCCTTTCTCTTTACTGTATTACTTTCTGCTGAGTCCCCCCGCTCTCTGCAAGTCCATACGTAGCATCTGACAAAGTAGGATAGAGGCTACGAAAGCTCACGCTACTTTGTCAGATGCTATGTATGGACTTGAGGTAGGTGATAACGTGCTCTATAATGCAAGGACCTCTGACTTGAGGTCCTTTCAGTCACGGCCCTCTGCCACTAAGGACCCCACCAGTGCTATTTGGGGGGTGGGTTGTGTGATGGGGTGAAACGCTTGCCCGTGGGAACAGCCCGAGAGCCAGCAAAACTCATGTCAAGTTTCCCAGGAGGCCAGTTGGCTGCAAATTTTTGGAGGTAGCACGAGCTGGCAACCTCCAGGTGCAAGGTCATTTACTGGCCGAAGCTGTGCAGATGACATGCCTTTCCTGTTTGGCCTCGGACTCTTCCTGACGAGGGATCAGGAGGGCCTGAAGCAGGACGTTTTGATGGCAGGTCTCTGAGCAGAAGGATGAGGTTTTGTGACCGTCTATTTGGGGGCAGTTCAAGGGCCGGGCTAGTTCTTGCCATCAGACCCAGTCGCGGGGCACTGCACGGCAGACAGACTGCTCAGATATCCCTTTGCTCTTCAGGACCTCTGTAGCCAGAAAGCTCAGGCCGCTTTAAGAGCCGAGGGATTAGCGCACCTCCAGAGAGAAGGATCTCGGTCTGCGAGCCACGTGAGACTATTTCCAAGACCCCTAGTTTTGTAGCCCGGTGGTCATTTCTCTTGGGAATTGCCTGAAACGACCAGACACGTTTCCCTGCAGAAACCCAGAGTACAAGAGGCAAAACGCCGTGCTGTTTTATTTGCTGAGCAAGCCAGCTTTTCAGGAGAGATGCTTTTCGAAACATGGCCTCCTGCCACCTCCTAATGGTGCAGCTATCTGTTGTCACAATAGAAGCATCTGTTTGATTTATCAGTTTATATAACACAATAAGTCCTTAAATAAACCTCCATCAGGCCAGCTCTGGGAAATCAGGCAGCGGGGTTTAGTGCCAGCTCAGTCAGCAGCAAGTGTCATCCATCTTCTTTGGAAAAGGTTTGAACTCCGAGGTGTCAGACACGGCAACACGGTTCAGAAAAATGAAAGCCGTGGCTTGGACAGGCCAGGAGCTGCTTCCGATTTGCTTGGGGTGCGTCGGATTGTTTTAACCCTTTGATGGCCAGTACCATCTTTCTTTTGCTGTGAAATATAAGCTTCATTGTTCTTTTTTTTTTTTAATATCCGTTTTGACTGTTAACATGGATTACTACTAACTACTTTTTTTTTTTTTTTTTTACCCACCTGAGCTGGCATTTTCAAAGGAGGCCAATGATCTCATGGACACTTGGACATCTATAGGGACAGTTAAACATTTCTCTTTTTCTTCTGTAAATCCCACTCTTACATTTTCATTCCAGAAGCAAACTCTTTTTATTATGCCTCCAAAAAATGGGATCGACTGCTCTCCCCCCTTCTCCCTCAGCAGGATTTTCTATTTATAACTGCACCCCTCCAAACCACCCGCACGACCTGCACTCCCCTGCTTTGGGCTGAGAGCGCAGCTGGAGCGGTGACAACCCGCTGATCCTCTCACATTGAAGGAGCCCCTGGCGCATCTTGTAGGTCTGATAGCATTTCCCTGGCTCCTCGTTGGAAAAGCGGTGCTCCAGCAGAGCCCCAGCACTTTTCAGCCAGCAAAGAGCACATGGAGAAAGCTTCCAAAGGTGTCAAAGCCTACTTTGTACCTGGATTTGTCCTTGGCTCCCTTGCTTTAGTTCTGTTCCCACTGGTTTTTTCCTACTTCCCAGTTCAAGAGGACAAGAATAAATTAGGTAGATTAAAAGGGTGAAATGGATTCAACAAGAGGTCATCCAAAAGCCCATTTTATTGTGATGCTGATCCAGCTTGTTCTCCGAGACACAGTCCCTTTTCATCCTGCTAGACGACCCCTGGTTTCTGTCTCGGATTAGGCTCCAGCGTTGCCCCTTTTGAATACGCCGTGGTGTGAAAGTAAATGACCCAGGTCCTGCGAGAAACTGATGCCTAGAAATTTGCAATGGTCGACGTGATGTGGCAATTCTCCTTGACACGTTAGATCTGAAGAAGCCTGGTTTTGAATTTGGACCATGATACGTGGAACAAATCCAAATACCTGCCTGAGTAGTTCACACTGTTATCTGTACTGCTGACATGCGGACTGCGTGGCAGTAAACGAGCCTTGACATAATACCTGGTCCGCACGCCACTGATTTGTCTGCTTTCTCTAGCTTCACGTCTACAGGCAGAGGTTACCCCTGACTTGTCTCCTGTTTTCTTTTTAGGACAGATTTCTGCGTACACAAGGATGAGCCCTGTGACACCGTGGGTAAGTCTCTGCGTGAGAGAGCTCATTTTGGAGCACAGCTGCAGAGATTCGGTTCTCCAGCTGATCTTTCATTCTTGGGTTTGTCCTCATGCTGCTTTTGTGTTACAAATGCAACTGTTGTATAAATACAAATCAGGGAGCAGAGACTGCTCTGCAAGTTTGCTGTAGTCGTTAACCCGGTGTAAGGTTTGCTGCCTTCAAGCTGAGGAAGGAATGTGGTAGCCCTTTCATTTTGGAGTAGCCAGCAAGTACGTTCAGATCATTGCAGCTTGGGAAATGAAGTTTTGAAACTCAGCTCTCGAGCTCCTGTGACCATGTTATTTTTCCACCCGGTGAAAAGATTCTAGCTGTGCGACTCCTCGTGTGAGGCAGGTGTTTGACAGCTGACACACAGTCTGCGCTCGGGGCTTATATACGGCTACCTGCAGGAACCTAGTGCTGGAATTTGGGAAGAAAAGTGTCCATCTTTTCTAGCCCCGTTTCCCTTGTTTAATCTCTATCCATGCATAGGATGTCTTCCTCCATCGAGGTACAGAAGGGCCTGCCAAGTCCCTGAGGCAGGAGACAGATGTTGCATGTGTCCCTGAACAAGTTGTGCTCCTTTGTCCCAGAGCAGAAATCTCCTGGGATTGATGTGTACACATGCCATCGTCCTAGTCAGGGTTTAGTGAGCGTCTGGCTGTTCTGCCATTGATTCAGTGATGCAACCGCAGGGCAACCTCTCAGATGCACTTTGCAATGTGCTGGGATAAGCTCTTAATACATCTTATCCTGTGAATCTTTTTAGGATTTATCCTGGGGCAATGGACATAGATGTCTGAGTGGTCATGCTTTGTCCCAGGATAAAACGGTCTGTCCTAGGGTAAATGTGATGTCTCTTTGTAGCCTGAGTAATAGATATATCAGGATTAATATTAGAGAAGGGTTTCACTGAAGAAAGTCAAACAAAAGGACTATATTTTTTTGTAACCACTCCTACCCAGACCTTAGCTCTGGTTTTCCAGTGGCAGGAACACTTAACACCCAGCCCTTTAACTATTCTCTTCTATCCAGATCAGTGGTGCTCAACCTTTCCAGCGTGCAGGCTGGGTGAGTGGGGCACAGCTAGTCTGCATGCCGGATCTAGGACGTGGACTGTCCCTGCATCCCAGTTCTCCCGTTGATCTAGATGCACTGCAACTCCTCTGCCCCGCATCCCACCCTGAGAGCTGCGTTTGGTGGTATAACTCCCGTATACTCTCTGTATACAGTGTATGAATGATTACACCTCAGCTTCAAAGCCAGGCTGCCTCTGCTTTTACATTCCAGGCGAGCCCCGAGTGAGTTGTGACCGGTAGGTCTCAAACTGAGCTCAGCCTCTGCAAGCTGAGGAGGCGCTGAGTGGGGTGCTAGGAGATAAATAGCTGCTGAGGGTTTGCTTGTGTGGGGGAAAGAGCTGTACATGCTGCAATAGGAGGTCTGAGGGTGCGTTGCAACGGTCACATCACGGCGCATAGATTCTTCCCTATCTGCGGTGCGCAGGGTAACGGTAGGAGACGAAGGAAGTAAACACAGCGTTGCAAAATATATACATTCTCCACTCAAATGTTAACAAGGTCTGGACTGTATGTCCAAGCTGTCCAGGGGGAATTCTTCACAATGCTCCTATTCTCTCCAGCTCCAGTGGAAAACATGCTTCCACAAAGGAGGCATCTGAACTGTGTACCTGAGACCGGATGTGGCGGTGGTACAGTACACGGTGATCTCTGTGCAGAAAGAAAGCTGATGGAAGACACATGCTACCGCTTAACAGACGCTGACTATGTTCAATGCTCTTTCCCCATTTAAAGACAGCTTTGTTGAGGACTTGGGGATGGGAATGATCTTTCCATACACTGCCTGACTAAGGAAGTATCATTGTCATGCTTCCTTTCTGTCCTGGCATTGTATATGGAGCTGCTTATTCTGCGGCCCACCGAAGGCTGGGATTCTTGTGGAGGGGGTAGTGGAAGCTGTGTGGTAGAGACCACACTTGTTTCCTGCTCCTCTGAACATAGTGTTTCCCAGCATTTTTGGAAGCTGAGCACCTCTTCAAGCAAGTGAATCCAGCCTTTCCCCCTCCTGCACTGTCATGTGGCGTTAAAAGCTTTTAACCATCTTCATTCCCATCTCTTCCATGTCCTATGAACGAGCTCTTTCTGCACTGCCCGGACAAGGGGTGTACCCTGCACTTTAGGTAGTGGTGTAGGTCTCTGTAAGAGGAAACATCTTCTCTTTTCTTATGTGCCAGGAAGAACGCTGAAATAAGTGACTGCATAGACATTTAAAGACACAGCAACCAGGGAAATGAATGAGACTGCTCAGAGCTCATCCAGCTATTGTCAGACTCTCTGCAAATTCAGGCCTCTCTGCTTCGATTATACTTACACCATTATCTGTTACCTAGAGCCTGCTGTCTTGCTCTTTCTTTCACTGAACCAAAAAGCTTATCCTCTGTTGCCTTTCACTGACACTCCCAAAGTCTGACACATTGTGTCCCATTTTCTTCCAGCTGTGGGATCTGACTATGTCAAGCAGCCCAGCTTTCTCCTGGGGGTCCCTGGAAAATGTACACACCTGACATGTACA